ATTGTAGCAGTTTTATTGTGGATACGCTGCCTCGAGAGTTCGGAAAAAATTTGGTGTGAATTTATTGTTACTATTGGCTAATCTCAATTAAGTAAATGAATGGACTTGCAACTAATCTCGACAGTGATTGATCGTATTCTAATGGGAATGATCGGCACCGTCAGGTAAACTTTCCGTTAAAGCGTCGAGAAATTGGTCTTACTTGATTAACCATTGGTGTCCAAGCCAAAGACAAACAACAGGCTAATTTCTGATGCGAATTGCATGTTGATGACAAATTTCTATCCCACCACATACAGCAAAAGTTAGCTGGAAAATTCAGCTTTCTCTTAACGGCTAGACTGAAGTACACACGCCACAACTGTGGAAAAGAAAGATTAATGGATATTTTGCGAAGGCAAAGCAGGTCAGTTTTGTTATTATCTCCCAGTGTTGAATTGGGAGCTAAAAAAGCAGACAGTCATTAGTCTGCGGAAGTGAGTCAACAACCTTGCAGCTCGTTTGGCAAAATAGCCTCAGGCGACACTGTACGTGGCAGAGGGTCAACTGGGGCCGGCTGAGTGTGACCTACCCCTGTGTGGTTGAGTGACAGTTGCTAGCAGACTGATTTTTCTGCATTGTTTGACGATGCCCTGTAGCGCAGGGCGGAGTTTTTTCGTCCCACACTGTCGAGCAGAACAGTACTTGCGACGTACGGTAGTACTCGTTAGATTATGGTGATATAAAAAGAATAGTGTGCAAATCCAAGTCTGGACTTAAACCAGCACATTTACAGAGCATAGATGGCGCAGTACTGGCCGCTAAGTCACTACAAATGATGGTCTTTTCTGGAGGAAACTGTCCATTCGTAGTTATGGTGGTAGTCTCATTGTGTGTTAAGGTTAGTTAGTCATTACAGGAACGTGGGAAGCGCAAATGCTGCTGGTTTATATCTAACATGCAGCTTGTTAAGCCCTCAGAAGGAGAGTCGATTTGACATTCCACGAATACCACCATTGCCACTAGATTACGGTGGGGACCTTACTGCTTATTCCGCTTTGTAATGATGTCCCAAGGCGCATAACGAGGCGAGACTTTGTTCCCTCCCCTACAAATGACTCATGTTTGTCTGAGCAGGCACCTCGTGGGATAGTCCGGCTGCATTACATGCCGTCTAAATTTTGTCTCCTGAATAAGCCGCTAGCTATTAATTAACTAATCACAGATTCCTGTTGATAAACAGAAGAGATCGAAATGTACTACTGATGACGTGAAGCAGTGCAGCATAGTGCAGAATAAGACGCAGCAGTAGGGTTAGTGAAACTTTAGTCTGCACAGTTGTCTATTGATTGGAGTGACAAAGGCTGAAGCTTAACTGATCATCTCGAACACTGTAACTGAGTGTATACCCAACTCGTAGTATTTGATCTTAGTAAACAAAGCCATGTTCTGGTTTGACTACATGTTATAAGCCTTGGCGTGATCGTATAACAATACTAAATGGTCTTTAATTACAAAACCTGAAACCAACCACGAATAGTAGCATATGAGGTGAAAAAGATGGTGAGATGGTTTGTAAAAATCAGGAATGGGCGTGGCTCCGGTGATGATTCATGTCATATGCCATACCGAAATTTTACCGTATCGAGCGGAGTACTGTCAACCCTTGTGTTCAGGCACTATTGAAGGATAAAGTTACTTAACCAACCGACTGCACAGCCTGTCAAATACCTTGGACAAATGCAACTGGGCAGTGTCAACTTCCCAAGCGAGGAGAAATTTAGTCCGACTTGCACGGACTATCAACAGGTTTGTCGTGCATGGAAGGTTTTATTAACATCGGTGATACTTTGGCATAGTGATGCTTCAGTTGACCAAATGCCGCCGGAGCTATGTGCTTACAGCCGACATGACCTTAGATGGCTTTGGAACGAGAATGGCCAGACTGTAATTCGTTAGCACAACACGGCAGCTCCTTTGTACATATGCGCATAGGTCACGTGTTTTCATATAATACGAATCTGCAGCCCATCAAGGCACAGTCGGAAAAAGCCAAGACATTGGTTCAACCAATTTCACGACAGGCACCGATGCCTCTAGGCGTATACGGCCTGCGACCACACACAGAGGACAGATTTATCCCTACGTACGAGGCTGTACAGCAGACGCGGTTAAATCTTGATAGTGATGTGATCCATGTGAAACAGTGTGACATTGACAATGAGTTCTGAATGTGAGGCTTAATTGTTGCCAAAGATATTGGCCACTTTGTGTGCAGCTCGTGTTTGTTCGCAGGCATCATCCTCATCATCATTATACACGTTAGCTAGAGGTGTAAAACACCTCCACTAATGTGCCGCAATACATAAAAGAAAAAGAAAATAAATACAACAGTTGCATGCCAGCTGAGTTACCAGCAACGGATGGGCATCATTCCGGAAAGCTACCAGCCGGCTACTAGGCAACAAGAAAAATTATTACGTAAAATTATATAATGTTACGAAATGTGATCGTGGTTGGAGGGGGAGGCGAAAAGGGATGAGGAAGAAGGAAACTCACAGCAAGAACGCCACTAAAGTCGGCTCCAAGCCATGTCAGCAAGTGTATCTAGCCAAACGTATTCATCGTCTTTTGGACCCCAACCAGGGAGCCGTGAAGCTCCAATCGAGGCCAGCTCCGAAGTGAGGGCCTTCATTCCTCTCGACCAAGTCATCGCTTGGCCACCCCTCCTCTTCTTCCATCCACACCCCCGGTGAGCAAACAACGCACGTCGCGGGAGTCAGTGGGCTGGCATGCGCAACACGTGGCCCAGCCATCGGAGCCTGGTGTGTGAAAAGACGGTGCTGAGTGGTTCAGTACTTTTTCCTGTGCCATAAACAAGGCGTCAAACACGCTCGTTGCTCACGCGGTGTTCCCACCAGATGTGAGCCAAACTGCGAAGGCACCGATGGTCGAATTTAACTAGCCTCTTTATGTCTGCTGATCTAAGGGGCCAGGTTTCGCAACCGTACGGTAAGATCGGAGCTACCGCTGCATTGTACACTCTAACCTTCAGTTCGAGAATGATGTCGCGCCGCCGCCATAGGTGGCGATGACTAGCAAAAGCACTTCGAGCTTTTGCTGTACGGTTCGGGAACTGATGCAACTTTCCAGGTAGTTGAATTTCTGTACGACTTTTAGCTGATCCCCATCAAAGGTCAGCGCAGAAGTCGATCCCTGCCAATCTTGGAGGAAAGCTTTGCACTTCGATGGTGCAGGCCGTGTGTATAGAAGGATTTCTGTGCTACACTCCAAGGAGATTGTTGATGTGCATGTACGGCAGTTTAGAGTTTGAAAAGTATTTCACGGTTAAGTATTGCAGAGGCCTTAATTCATTTTCATGGAACAGCTACCCCCGGTGCCTATACCGAATAATATGAGTTTTCAGAGCGTTGATCCTGCGTGAAGCTTTCTAATCGCATTAGGAAACACTTTGCCTTGTTCGACCGTAGAGCCACAGCTGCTGTAATGTTTAACTCTGGTTTGTGAAATTGGCGAATGAATTCTCCACGAGTTGCATTAGGGGGTGTTGTTTAACTATGGAGGACCAACAAAGGATGTTTTATTGGCACCGCCATTGAAATATTCTGCGTAACAAACGTAGAGAAACTGCGAGGACACATGATTACTGTGGTCCGAAGAGCTGCTCATCACTATGCATTGATATTGTGGCGACAGTTAGTAAACACGATGTTCAGAACGGACGGTTTGTTCGCCGTTGAAAACTTAAAATGGATATTAAAGTGGCTGCAAAGAGGCAAACTAGCGAATTGCCACTGCATTCCCTCCTCGAACTACTAACCTACAGGAGGTGGGTATTTAGGGTATGCATGTTGAATTCCTCCATCTGAGAAACGAGACAGTTATGTCGTACCAGCATGTATTCATAGCAAAAGCCTCCCTAGGTCTATCTCTCAGGGTGGGATATGACGGCTACCAAATGTGCCACCATGCCTCAGGTTAAGACTGCACTAAGCAAGTCGATAACTTGAAATTCAGCGTCGTCAGAGGCAATGAAGTGCAGGTCGTCACCATGATGCATCACTACTTCGCTTCTTCTACTCGTTACATTGTTAACCCAAGGGGCATATTGTGTTGGGATACCAAATAGTGCGAATGTAGAAAAAGATTTCGTCATTCAGTCGAATCTCCGTTAACATACTTGTTGTGTCGGCACCCCGTGACTGTCTACATTCATTAGCGGTAATGAGAACACGAACGACCAGAGACGAGGATTCAAGGGTTCTTTTACGTGGGGAAATGAATTCGTGAAATAATATGATGCACAATCGTGAACGCGAACCATAATACGGAAAGCATGTGGACAGGCAAAGTAAATACTGAACAAATAAGGAACCAATCAGGTGCACACAAAGAACGGAAGTGAGTGTTAGCGTCAGAGTAGTGCTACGATCTGAAGGCAAAACTAACGACTCGAAATAGCCAATAGGGATAGCGATATTATACGTTTAACAAATATTAGTGAGCCACCAGAGCAAAACGCAAGTCTGCACTGATGAATGGTTACACATGCATACCTGTGTTTTATTGTTCCGCTAACAATAATGAGCTTTGGAGTCGGATGAGTTCGAAGTTTAGGTAGTGCTATTGGAATTCCTTATGTACTCGGCACAAACAAGGGAGTAAAGCAAATGGTAAAAGCCCATTTGCAGTCAAAAACGCCAGGTGCGATTTAACCGCAGATCATCGTTATTCTGAGGAAATGTTGTCATAAAACCTGGAGTCATTTCTGACTGTCGTACCAATCTCCCACAAGCCGTAACTCGAGTCCCGTTGTTCCGGAGGCAATTAGGTGCCCATGCAGGCAGCAGCTGGACCACATCGTGTCCTGATTAAAAAGCGCAATACAATCACGGCGACCAGAATAACCCTGGGGCATAGCGAATTTGAACGACACCTACATAAGTGAACTCGAAACTTATACACAATAATGTGAACGATACAGAGGAAACCAAACTTACGTGACATGCTCTGGTATGTGGGCACATACTTCCGAACCCAAGAGGTGGACTGATCTTCCCAAGCATCGTGACAACGTCAAGATGCCGAACGCGTCCCCTGTGGGGTCGAGGAAAACACAGAAAAAACCAGTTACGACGATCAACGTAAACGGATGAAATGTGTTATAATAATAGCCTTGGTTAACGCCTGTGCTGGATGACAAATATTTCATGTCCACCAATCATGTAAGGTTGTCATCAATTTCAAAGACTTTTCATTACACTTTTGAGAAATTAGTCAGTGACTGCGTTGAGAGTGCTGTGAGATCACTGAAAACGCGGCGGTTATGGATGGATCTACCAGCGAATCAAAGAACCCTGTTCAGCGGTTACAAGCGTAGATTACATAAAAGTACTGAGCGTGCATTTTGCATGACTGATCGCAGAAAAGAGAAGAGCGCGCAGCTTTTATCATCACTGTTTACGCTGCATAGAACATGATGAGGGTGAAGAACATGTGATTTTTTCCGCTAATGTAGTACGATCTTTTGCACGGGGTGTGTAAATACAAATGAAGAACAATAGCTTATTAGTTGTGCACCCGGCAATTGTGAAGTTATTGGCTGATTCGAAGAAATAAGACAGACTTCACCATGCGACACGGCATCACCACCTCTGCTCCTCAGGTAACTAAAGTATGCGAATTGAGTCCACACATCAGTCAAAAATCTTATATCGTGGACAGTAGTTGAAATTAATCATATCAGATGATTTATGAGGTGCATTTCCACGATACACATAAGTAAACGTACAAACACTACATTCGAGCAGTCGATGACGACTTAGTAGTGACTTACTTGGCCTCTGGATCGTAATCAGCCCATTTGGTGACAAATTCATCCAGGTGATGCGGTCCCAAAATGGACCAGTCCCGAGTTAGATAATCGAAATTGTCCATTATGACGGCCACGAATAAATTGATGACCTAGAAGGGCAGCAATGAAATCAAACGGTTGGTTTATGTTCTGTGCCAAACTGTAAACTTCTGGAGCGTGACTAGGGCAACAAGTTGCTTAGCATCAGGTGGGATTCAGCTCAGTTAGTGGATTCTGATATGAGCATGGTAATGCACTGAACACATTCACACACAGCGCCTTACTATGGTAATGACAAAATGGTAGAGGATGTCGTACATGAAAGGCAAAGACAAACAAACCAGTGAAGTATAGAAACGCTCAAAAATGAAAAGAGTTGTCATTGTTGATTAGAAAGAGTTATGGCACATAGAAAGAGGCCAACATCAGAGTATGCATCAATCTCGTCACTGTGATATATCGAAAGTGAATTTTGGCGAATTTTATAGTTGGTCCTGAGTGCCCAAGTCAGGAAACTGCGTATAACAGAGCGCGAAGTTGTAGTAAATGTTTGCTCCAACGCAAATCGACCGGCCAGGTGATTATCGCAAGGTTAATGTGGAATATCACGGAACTGCAACAGGGTTCGGCACGAAACAACGACCGTAGTGTGTGCAAGTGACCACTCGCCATCAGTTAAACCCACAGCCGGCTGGAAAGCATAATTCACATAGCTGATAGGTATATGTGTGGCTTCCTGCGTTTTCTCATGTAGCCAGGATGTAAACCCAACCTCTGAATTTCTAAGTTCAGTCCAGCCAGGATGCTATGTAGGCAGTACCGGTTATTTCTGGTTGTTGGCAGTTTTGTTACCAGTCAAGTAATCACCAATCGCTGTCTCGGGGTACTTGGTAAGTGACACACCAAACGGACGGCTTCCGAAGACGGGAAGGCGCACGAATGCACAACACGCTGACAGAAGACGGAGTCTGGTGACCGGATTAAAGATATATAATAATAAGGCCAGCAAATGGGTCGTTGTGTGACAGCAAACTAATCTTAATAGAAAAGTGCGAAAGTTAAGCCAGTCAATGACCCTCTAGGTGGAGTGCAAACGGTCTCTGCTCATTTAGCACTATTTGAGTGATAGAAAATCATTTAAATGACCAAACAATAAGCTAGATTAAGTAAATTTTGGTAATGTCTTTCGTGGAGAATATCGAAGCGGAATAAGGAGACGGACTCCGAGAGCTTCATATGATATTCTGGAGAATATGCAGTGGTTTTGGAAAACTAACTCGCTACACCTGCCAGCGGCAATGATCAAGCGCAAGCTTCCGACTAAGAAAAATGTCGTGGTAAAACAAAATTATAATCAGTACTGAGTTTTGTTGCGTGCTTGAAGTGCCACACGTAATTTCACTTGTCGATGATTCGCCGCTCGACGTTGATAAAACCGGGTAATTAGTGACCCAAATCCCTGCCGTTTGATGTTCCGTTGAGATCCACTGACACTCCACTAAACAACCTTGCAAACAAGCGGCTTTGGCCATGGCGACGTGATGTCCGTGGTACACTAGCTATAGTCATAGAAAACGTTAAGCTTAATCATGTTCTGCAGTACTCCAATGGTGACATGGTGTTCTAGTGTCTGACCAAGTAAACGAGCTCGGCCAGACTAATGAATGTCGGATACGACGTCCGGTGTAAAAACTCTTCTTCAACCTTGAGCAATTCCGGACTGCAAATCCGCCAGGCCCTGTAGAAGAGAACTTTTACCAGGCCGCGCTTGTATGCAACTGGGGTGACGTTGGAAAAATGTAGGTATTTTCCCCCCAGTTCGCTTTTCTGTACACAGGACTCTGCTATCCAATGGGTATTCGGAGCAATTCATTCAGACCCATAGCAGACCCCCCAAGGAGAAGCTACCAGTACAAACAGCGGAGAAGTAGGATGTTTATTTGTTCTTACCGTTCAAGGGGAAGCATGTGGCAAATGAAGTTGGTCACAAGCTCAGGTCCGCTCTAACGGGCACCTACTCTACCACCCAACTACGACTTATCCACACTACACGAAGGACTCCTCTCCACAGCCGTCCGAGTAGCTCGCCAATCAGTTCGGCCTCTAACATCATCTACTAGTTCATTTGCAGTTGCAGTGACTCTTACATCGGCAAGACTGGTCGCCGGCTGGCTCAAAGGGTGGCGGAACACTTCCCATTGTGGTTAAGGTAGTTGCTGTCTCACCAAGGCGGAACGGAGCAAAGAATGAACCGGAACTCTGCCTCGTCTATCACCAAACACCTAATAAAGACTCGTCACCAGGTGAACCCATTCGATTCATTCAAGGTGCTATTGCGCAACAGGAATCCGACGTTGTTGGCAATTGGCGAGGCGCTACTGACATGGTTGTATTGATCCGTGCTTTGTGCTTAGAAGCAACTGAGGCAATCAGTTAGATTGCCTTGGACCTGATTACGTCATTCACATCAATTTTACCTGCTTATCTATGTTACTGTGGACCGTATTTATTGCGTGTTTTGTTCTGCCTGTATTGCGTAGCGACTAACGAGAGCAATCGAAATGTTAACATATCGCAAGCTATGTCTTCTTACTGTCTTAATGAAGTGTTTGAAGGGGACTCAGTGTTTCAAGAACTACCACCATTGACGGCAAATCACTAAGACTTGTAGTTCGTGGATAATTCAAACAGACTACGTCGTAACGGACTGCGTATGCTCGGGGACCTACAACGCAGTATCTGCAATTGGTCTGAAGAGGTCAGCACCCGCTTTTTCTCTTGCATCATAAGACAGCTGTTATGGTAAGGTTCACCCGCCTATTGCCCAATCTCAGGAGGCGCGACACAGAAAAGCGAACGGGTCTAACGCGTTGCTACCAGGCTCATTTCAAAGTTACCAGGATTACCGTAGAAAGATCGCTGGGGGAAACTACGACTCTACACTTTGTCCTATCGTTCGCTGTGAGTCAATCTCATCGTGACTTACCACATATTGCCTCTCGGTGACAGCCCCACGTTGAGGCAGCTGCTGCACTTATGAACGCCATTCACCACACGTGGATAAGCTTGTGATGCAGGATAGAAAGCGGGTTCCCTACCCATCGCGCATCGAACGGACAGTGGTAAATATGTGAAGCAGTCTGCCAGAACAAATCTTGGAGGTCAGATCTGTGCAACAGTTCAAAAGGTTGTTGGAGGTACATTTCAGAGAATGATTGCACATTGGCAATGACATCTTACCTTTGTGAGCCCAATGATACTGCAAGTCAGGCATTTTTAAAAGCTAGTTAAGAACCAGAAGAAAGCTTAGTGTCTACAGGTGACTGATGCGTTTTATGACATTTTTGGTTAGATTCCGATGGGATTGTGCATATTTCATTTTCAACTTGCTCCCACAATGCGGTATTCAGTAGAAGCCAGTTCAGTTAGACGATTCACTTCATTCTGAATTGCTATTCCGATTCTAATGTTCGATTACCTGTGCACCAGCGTTAGCTATGTTATACTGGTGATTTGGGTTCTGGCGCCGGATTCACCACATTGTGTTTCCGGAAGGATTGTTGGCATCTCAGACCGAACTGGGAAATTAATTACAATGTGCATTAATAATAAAAACAACAGGTATATTCTTTGGCTGTGCCTATCATTGGAACATGACTTGTGGAACAGTCGTGTTCACACTCTTGCATAGTTCGAACGGTGTGCAAACGCCCATTTCATTAAAGCAAAGGGGAACAACACGACATGAGACAGCAGTTGAATGAAAGATCGACAAGTAACTATTCCAAGCTGAAGATTTGGATTTGGTGCGAATGTCTTGGATAATGAACATGTAGATGTAGTTGGAGACACATTTCCACCGCTAAGCGATCATAACTTTGAATGCTGAAATTTGCAATAACTGATTGCGTATCGTAGTAGAATAACAAAACTCACCAGAAAGGCGCTTAGGGCGTAAAAACTGATAAAGTAAATATAGGCCAGTCGAGATCCGCAACTGTTAGGAACTTTCTCATCAGAATCGGAAGCGCAGGGTTGACCTGAATTTTTAAAGCAGTTGAACAGATAAGAGATACTTTGAAACAATGGTATATGACGTGTAAAAAGCACATATCTCGTGGGTTAGAAATGGGAAGTAATTACCATTTCGTAAGTGGATCAAATGAAATGTGCATTGGTCAATCGATAGAGTAATTTTATAAAAAAAATAACATCGTTGAGGAGATGAGATGGTACCATACAAAATGGATTAATAAGTTGTTAAGATTAACGCTGATAGCCATGAACAATGGAGCAATGATATAATAAGGAGGAAAAAAGCCAACGTTCGACAAGTCAGGTAGGATGGTATGTGGGAACAACGTTAGTACAAAAAAATTGCACAAACGTGAAAAAATACGCATCAGGGCAATTACCATACTATCCACATTAACACAAAGCTATATCCGTCAACCCCGATTTCGTGGGATTGGTGAGCAAAATGTTTGCTTGCAACATGTCGTCACTCAATGGGTAGAAATCAGCCCAAGTAATATAAATGGTGCAAAGTGTCGTTAAGTTGTTTTTTAACAATGGATAGGGCGGGCGCGGAAATGACAAAAGTCGAAAGTGCGTTCCACGGTTGACAAACTCAAAAGGAAGAATAATTCCCGTCGCATTCCAGCCAACTTTATTGGGTGGTCAGTTTCAACTTATGATCCATCAATTCCGTGTTGTGGCTAAGCTTCAGAAGGTGGCGGCAAGTGTGACCAGGGTTTTTCAAGATCTGAAACGCCAGGATGAGTTCACACTGTAGACGGCGGTATCTGCCGCTGTATACTCCCAAGGCTCTCAGTCGCCTATAGTACTGCAGGTGGGACAACCTCTTCAGATTCTTCGTTGCCCTTCTCCCGACAGTCTCCAGCGCAGTCAGATCACGTTTTAACCGTGGTTGCCAAGTCTGAATCGCGCAATCGACCTGGGGACTCACAGATGCATTGAGCATATGGGGAAAGATGAAGGGATCGAACCGCCCGAAAGCCCTCCGCAATAGACCAGCATGTTGGTTTGCAGTTTTTGAAGCCCTCAAAAGACTGTGCCGAACAGCCGAGATCATCTTGCATCACCACCCCAACGTCTCGCTCTTGTGGTTCCGTTTTCAGCATGTCGTCTCCAAGCTTATATGCATACGTGGGCTTGTGGTGGACATGCAGGTTTTCCACATGCCTGCGTTAACGGAAGTCGATTTGCCATTAACCATTCAAAGGAGTGATCTAAGTCTCGTGGCATCATATTGTGATCTACCTGACAGCCGATTGCCAGCCATATCTTGATGTTACCGGCAAAAAGCGGGAAATTTGACTTGATGACACTCACAAGATCGTTAGTGAAGAACAAGAATAACCACGGCCCCAACACAGACCCTTGTGAAATACCGCAGTCCACATTTATTAGAACAGAAAATGAGCCCCGAACTCGAACCTGAAGGCGCCACTGAAGGAGGGAGCTTCCAATCCATCTAAGGACAAGGTTTCCAACTCCGTATGCTTGCAGCTTTTGGAGAATGATGTGGTGATCTTTGCGATCGAAGACTTTAGAAAAGTCTAGGTAGATGACATCAATGCCGGTCCCACTGTCGGCTATCTCTTTCCCACTGTCATGACCGATACTGACGGAATCCGTGTTGCTCCGGTGCTATGATGTTAGATCTTTCAAAGTAGCCGATTACAGCCTCGGCTATGATCGATCCCATCAAGTTTGAAAGTACCGGGAGGAGAATCACAAGGCGATAGTTGGCGGGCTCTGAATGGCTACCACATTTGAAAATCGGGGTAATGATGCCTTGCTTCTACATGTTAGGGACCAGTTGTTCGTCCAGCCATCTTTGGAAAAATCTCGTTAATTGTTCAGCTATCCTCGTAGCTGCCACCTGCAGTGCTTTTGGGGGAATGTTGTCAACTCAGGGGGAACTATGTGTGCGCAACAAGAGCAACTTCCTCAAAATGGCCACCGAACTAACGGGGACGTTGTGTAAACACTGGTGTCTGGGAGATTGGGACAGGTATGTTACACATACTGGTAGCATGTGGGAAAATTGGAGCACATTGGAGCTGTATAACGTTAGCTGAATCCACGGCGGTTTGAACACATCCATCTGCTGATATTAGTGGAAGAACACGACGATTTACATTCCGGAGGCTGTTCCCATGTCGATACAGAAGCATTTTGTTAGCACAAAACTTTTCCGCCAGACTTTGATGGTGCACTAATTTGTCCTCACGCACAAGCCTGGTACAATGATTACAATGCACAACATAGTTACTCCAGTTGTCCGGGCTAGGGACCGCTCTATACACATGCCACGTGACGCCTCTTACTGTCATAAGTTTTAGGGTTCTGTTCCAAACGAATAATTGTGATGTTGCGGAACGAAGGGGTTTGTTGACCGATGCAGATTTAATCCGATCACTAAACTTGCCAGTGAACTCCATCCAATACTGTCGATGGAACAGTCGTCCGAAAACTCCAAGATGGCAGCTCCCACAAATTCTGCCAGTATGTCGTAGTGGGTGATTGTACGAAACAAGTTACTATTCTGTTGTGAATACTCCGCATAAAACACAAAGTCGTAAATTATGGTTACATGGTCACTCCATCTAGTGGGCTCTTCATTCTTGGATAGCTTACTCGTCTGCACAGAAGTACGTGTGTCATTGGATGTTATAATTCCAAAGATTCAAGTTGGCCTGAATAATTCCAGTGTATCCGTTCATGTAACAAAGTGTAGAGAGCTCAATGCGATATCCAATCGTTTTTTAATGGTTAGGGTGGGAGCACAAACAAGTGAGTTTGGAAGGGCGTTTCAGGGTTGACTTATTTGGAAGGCGAAATAAGTTCGTCGACAATCTAGACGACTGTATTATCGACTTAGTTTCAGCCTATTCCCTCTGAGGTTGGTGTTGGGGCTGAGCTTCAAAAGGTGTCGGCAAAGGTGATTAGGGTCTATGAGTATGTGGCATACTAATATGTGGTCACCAGGTAGTCCCCGGTAGCGTCCACTGAACACTCCGAGTGTCGGGAGATTGCGAAAACCCTCGAAGTTTTATTGTTACTCGACCTTGTGGGGTATCGAGCGCTGCATGGTTGTCAAGCCTGGATAGCGTATTCGACGTGAAGACGCACGCAGACAATGAGTCTCGGACAGCATATGGATGAATCCAAGCTCCAAAGTGCCTTCCGCAAGAGGACAATATGCTGGTTTCCACTTTTTGATGCGAAATCTGAATGCGGGGAAAATTTGATATAATCTCGTGCCAGCATACCGAGATCAGGTTCCTGAGTGACGGTCTTCAGATCGTGCGTTCTAAGCTTGTAGATGTAGGCGTGTGGCTGGCAGATGTGGACACCGCGGCACTTTTCCACATTGAATGGCAGTGCGTTCATCACCGACCAAATCCAGGCTTCATGAAGGTCGCGCTGGAGGATCTCATAATAGTCCAATATATAAATCGCCCGCCAAAACCTAACATCGTCTGCGAAGATTAAAAATTTAGAGGTGATAACTCCAAGTTTATCGTTAATGAAAACTAAGGCGAGGCCCAAGTACCGAACCCTGTGGTACGCCGCACTCCGCTCGAATCGGGTCGGACAGAGATGGTCGGATTATAAGCGCCAGCTGTCGTTCACGGAGAAAATTATCTATCCATCCTAATACGGAATCGCCGATGCCATAGTGCTGAAGTTTGTAAAGCAAGATTCGATGATCCAAGCGATCGAAGGTTTTCGTAAAGTCCATGTGGATAACATCGTTCCTGTCCCCTTATCAATTGTTTCGGTCCAGTCATCACGTGTTAGCAGCAGATTCGTGGTATATGATAAATGTTGACGAAACCCGTGCTACTCCGACACAATGATGCCGTAGATTTCCAGGTAGCTTATCAGTGCGTCTGCGATGATGGCTTCCATGAATTTGGCGGGCACATGGAGAAGCGTTACCGGGCGGTGATTGACAGTATCAGATCTATTTCCACCTTTGTGAATGGAAGTTATAATAACCTGTTCCCACTTTGACGGAACTGTGTTCTCTTATAGACAATGCTGAAAGGATCCAGCTAGTTGTTTCGATGGGTACATGGCCGCTTTGGGGTGAATGTTATCCACCCTAGGAGAGCTCTGTGTGCGCAAGGATAGTAGCTGTCTCAGCACCATTTCTGCTGTGAGGGTGATGCTGGATAACACTGATGGTGTGGTGTCAGAAGCGGGCATAGTGTTCGAGGATTGTGCCCCCTGGAAAGTAGTTGAATACTGGGCCCGTAAGGTATTGGCCACGTCTCTCGCTGTACTTGTTAGTGTTGGCAAATTGACTGAAAACAGGTAAAACACGCTTTGCATATTCTCAGGGAGCCGGCGTTTGCTCCATCACAACGCGAAGAAAGTCGAAGGGCCTTTGGCTGCTATACCTAGGCACGTATTTACATATGTACTAAACCAATAGATTAACAGTTAGAACTGTGTAGTAACGATGCGAGATACTTCTAATTGAGCATTGGACCTTTCATAAATAAAAATAAATAAATAAATTTGTATATTTGCCGGCAAACAGTACAAGATCACATAAGCGGGAGCGATCATTGTGCTGGTTACTCATCTTTGGAGGTTATAGCACTAATCATGAATGCGAAATACTGAGAACAGAGAGCTAGTAGACATACATCTGTGTTGCTTCATCGTAGTTAGTTCGGGCGCATGTGTGAAATCACTTTATTAATTCCTGCGCGTTTGCGGCGTATTACAACTGCGCCATATGCTATTAGGGTGCGATGCGCTCGCTGAATCTGAAATCCGCATAGTGGGCGTCCGGGAATTAATTGAATTCCAACACTGATTTCTCCTCGACTAGTTTCTCTGACAAACCGTTCCAATATTTCACCACTTGAAGCTCGAGGACTAGAAAGTGAGCTATCCACTTTAGGTCCCGTAACACTAGCTTGTACCGGTGCCCGTGAGGGCTTCTTGGTGCGCACACGTGAAGTATCGGTCTCAGCATGGGGAAGTGACCGAG